GATCCGAAACGTCAGCTTTTCTGCTCCTCTGATGCTGCTTGGCCTGCTGTGTTCATCCAGCTCTACACCTTGTTATCTCAGATTCTCCAGCATCGGCAGTTCCTACTATCTCTGCAACTTTCCATGGTGGTTTGTGTGATGCAGACTGTCCGTTCCTCAGTTCCAAGTGTTCAGTGATCTTAATTTTCTTTCCCTGATATTCTCTTTCTTCTTTAAGACATTTCTTAAACATATTGTAATTCTGTTCTTATCTACGTTTGAAGATCAGCCATAGAACAGCAGAGTAGCTGTGAAATACTAAACTACTTCTATTTCTCATAGATATTCTCTACATCAACCTGTTCGGAGATATTATGACACAGTAGGGAGTAGCTGAAAAATTAAGGTGGGCCTCCTAGTTCAGAGGTAGGGGCACTACCATTTCACCGTAAGAGGATCCTTCCCTATTCTCTCATATTTTGACCCCTTTGATCAAGCTTCTTATCCCTGGGTAGCATGGTGGTTCAGTGGTTAGCACTGCTGCCTCACAGTGCTAGGAAACTAAGTTCGATCCCAGCCTTGGGTGACTGTCTGTGTGGAGTTTGCACATTCTCCCTGTGTCTGTGTGGTTTCCTTCCAAGTGCTCCAGTTTCCCCTCTCAGTCCAAAGATGTGCAGTTTAGTTGGATTGGCCATATTAGATTGCCCATAGTGTCCAGGGATGTGCAAGCTAAGTGGGTTAGCCATGGGAAATGCAGGGTTACAGGGATGGGGTGATTCTGGGTGGCATACTCTTCAGAGGTGTTGTGTGAACTTGATGGGATGAATGGCCTGCTTCCAAACTGTAGGGATTCTATGATTCTCCACAGAGTGCCTTTTGGCTTGGTATCAAATTTCTCTCAGAATGCCTTTCTCAAGCATCTTGGGGCTTACTACAAATGCTAAAGGTGCAATTAAAGACAAGATGTTGATGCTATTTTTCTTGAGAAGAAAACACCAGAGAAAGGTGTCTCTTTATTGTTGCTCGCCCTTTCATTTACATTGCAATTTCCTCTTGCATTTATTTTATAAAAAAGATTAACCTTTTGATTCTGTCACAGGTAGACCAGCTTCTGGTTCATCAGCAGGTGGAGTTGTTGGAAGGTATGTTGGAATAAAAGTTCAAGATGTGAATTCAGCTTCGGATGAGAGCAGTTCAGCTCAACATGCTGCCTGACTTTCTTTTCACTTGCCTAATTCCAAATCATGTAACACGGCTTGAAGTATTGTCTCGTAGCTAGAACTCTCGCAGGAGAACGTAGATGGATTTAAGACATTTGCCTTTATCAGTCATGGCATAGGTTATAAGAGCCGGGAGGTCTTTTTGGAGCTGTACAGAGCCTTGATCAGGTCACAGCTGGAGTACTGTATGCAGTTCTGGTCACTGCACTATAGGGAGGATGTGATTACGTTGGAGAAGGTGCAGATTAGATTCACTAGGATGTTGCCTGGGATGGAGCAGTTTAGCTGTGAAGAGAGGTTGGATAAGCTTACGTTGTTCTTGTTCGAGCAGAGAAGGCCGAGGGGACCTGATAGAGGTGTATAAGATGATGAGGGGCATGGACAAGGTGAATAGAAGCTATCAGTTCCCTTTAGTTGAAGGGTCAGTAAGAAGGGGCATTATTTTAAGGTGAAATGCAGCTGGCTTAAAGGGGATGTGAGGAAAACTGTTTTCACCCAGAGGGTGGTGGTGGGCGTTGGGGGGTGGGTGTGGAGGTGGTGGTCTGGAATGCATTGTCTGGGAGGGTAGTTGAGGTAGGAAAACTCACAACCCTTTATAAAATACTTAGGTGAGCACTTGAAGTGTCATAACATTCAACACTATGGGCCTAGTAAAGGGAAGTGGAATGAGTATATACAGAATTGGTGCAGACTGAATGGGATAAAGGGCCTCCTCTATATTCAATTATTCTAAATACAGTGTCTCATCCTATTAACAAAGTAATGATTGTGAACCCTTGCCCTTTGCTCTGTGTTGGTTTGTTAAACCCTGCAAACTTTTAAAACGATGTGGCCTGAACATGAGGTAACAAGATGTAGAGCTGGAGGAACAGGAAAGCTGACGTTTCGGGTCGGGACCCTTCTTCAAAAATGGGGGAGGAGAAGGGGGCTCTGAAATAAATGGAGAGGTGGAGGGTTGCGGTGATAGCGGGTAGGTAGTGGTGGGGATTGGTCGGTGAAAACCAAAAGAACTGTGGATGCTGTAAATCAGGAACAAAAACAAAGTTGCTGGAAAAGCTCAGCAGGTCTGGCAGCACCTGTGGAGAAGAAAACAGGGTTAACGTTTCGGGCCCAGTGACCCTTCCTCCGAACCGGTGGTCAGTGATCCTGTCTGGCCTGCTGTGTTCCTCCAGCTCCACGCTGTGTTATCTCAGACTCCAGCATCGGCAGTTCTTACAATCCCTGGCCTGAACACGAGCCGCCCAGTCCTCTCACTCGCTTTGTCCTGGACTGAGGGCTTTGTGTTTTCCTGAAATTATACTCCTTATCATTGGCCCAAGAGTGTGCATTAAAGTCAACTTTGCTAATCTCCCAATTTTTTCACCGTTACGGTTGCTTTAGTCTTAACGGGATTTGAGACCAACAACAAATATCAGATTAAGAACAGTCTTGGCCAACTGGTCTACTTTGCTGCTGAAGAAAATGACTTCTGCAATCGAAATTGCTGTGGAAACCTACGTTCCTTTGACATGAAGATCCTTGACAACTTAGGACAGGAAGTGATAAATCTGTACCGTCCCTTGAGATGTGCCGGATGCTGTTGCCCATGCTGTTTGCAGGAGGTGAGTGACAAGTCCTGGACACAATTACTTCAGCTGTCGACATTCTATAAGCTCCATCTCTTCCAACCTATTCATTCCCATGGCATTACTCATGGATAAAGCGAAAATAAATAGTCTTCTCTGCTTTGCACTGCTCCTGTTTCAGTCCTACATTAGATGTTCTTCGGCTTTTGTTTGTCCCCCTTTTTTTTTAAACCAGCCAAGTACTAAACTATTGTAGTCTCTGCACCTCATCCTCAAACCCTTTGTCCCCTCAATGTTTCCCTAATTTCAGCCTTCTCAAATTAATCTCTTTAACCAGGCTAAAGACTAAATCCGTGTACTTTCCTACCAAAGGCTTCACCAACTCAGAGGTAGGAAGGTGTCAGTGGATCCTGCCCCGCCCCCTTCGGCCCTTTTAAGTGACCTCCCCCTGCCACCAAACCTGCCACTAGAGAGGGCATTAAATTCCATCCTCCCTCTCTATCAGTCTCAATATCTCGATCTCTTAACTCTGCCTCTCTTTCTCTTGTTATTGTCTGTCTGTGTCTCTCTCTCTCTCACTATCTTTCTCTTGCTTTGTGTTAAGTAATTTTTATCTTTGTTTCTTTCTTTCTGCCTTTCTTTTTCTTCATCTCTCTGCCTCTCCCTATCTGTCTCTTTCTCCCTGTCATTGTCTTTCTATCTTCTGCTCTCTCTCTGTCTTCCTATATGTCTATGTCCCTCTTATCTTATTAATGCTCTAATTCATGCTCATCTTTTTTTCTTTTCTCTTTGTCCCTCTCTCTCATACTGTCTTGCTGTTGCTGTGTGTGTGGTACTCCTTATGTTTGTTTCTTTCTCCTTGTCTTTCTGTCTCCCGTGTTGTCTCTCTTTTTGTCTTAATCTCTCTGCCTCTCCCTGTTGAAATAACTCCACAGAGACCAGTATCCCAATGCCAAATTGTCCTTTATTTACATGTGGCGAGTCCTTAACACTGGACCAGCTTCCTCACAGAGGAACCTCTGTGACTCCTGTTTATATCCGTAAGCCAGGGCTCCCTGATTGGGGCTGTTAATCTGGTCCAATCGGGGAATTTATTTTCTATGAGGGTCACCTGGCTGACCTTGTTACAGTTGCTACACCTCTTTCTTTTTCTGTGTTTGTCCCTCTGTCTTCTGCTCCCTTTCTCTGTTTTCTTGTATGTCTTTGTCTGTCTCATTTATCATAATATCTCTCAAATTTTAACTTTTGGTTTCTTTTTCTAATTTATTACCATGATTTTGTACTTTTGAATTTCTGTACGGACTTTTTATTTCTTTATTTTTCTAAAGTTTTTTGCTCCTAAGAATTTGTACTTAGATACCTTAGTATGTAAGATGGCGCCATAAGTGGCAACTTGTAAACGTTTCACTGTACTCTTCTAAGTATGTAACAGTAAAGCTAATTTAATTCAATTCAATTCAAATTAGTGCTGGCCATTTTCACTTTTTGGCCTCTCTCTCTCTTGCCTTCAACTTTCTGTTGTTGGTCAGTATAAAGTAAAAGTTATCATTCAAAATTAAAACAGCTTCTATTCTTAATTCATTGATGTATCTTTCCCATTTTCGCTGGCTTTAATTCATGCCTTCCGCCAATGCAGCTTTTTGATGACCATCTTGTGAGGATTATATATTTTCTATTGTGCAATTTCTTCACAGATGGAAGTGAAGGCTCCACCAGGTGAGCCAATTGGATATGTTGTCCAAACGTGGGATCTATGTCTGCCAAAATTCACCATTCAAAATGATAAGAAGGAGCCTGTACTGAAGATTATTGGTCCTTGCTGTATCTGCAACTGTTGTAATGATATTGATTTTAAGGTACTCTTCTTATATCTTATGAAATTCTTCAGCTTCCTGATAAGTTTGTAAATTGCATCAGTTTTGTAGAGATGTGGTGATCCTGCTTCACCCAGCCCACAGGAAAACTCTTAATTGTTCTTTTGACAATCACTTGTAAATAATTTACATGACCCTTTTCTTTTTGCCGTTTGTTCTGTACTTATTTTTAGAAAATCAGCCCTGGACAAGGAGAAGACATATGAATAGGAGCACATGCTAATGGGAGTGATTATAAATCAGTTTGATTTAGAATCATTCAAGAATAACAAAGCAGAGACCAAGAGTAAAAGCTTTAAATCTGAAAAAAACTAGCTTGCGTAGGAGTGGCACAGTGGCTGAGTGGTTAGTTTTTCCATGCAGTGGTTAGAGTCATAGAGTTGTACAACATGGAAACAGACCCTTCGGTCCAACTCGTCCATGCTGACCAGATACCCTAAATAAATCTAGTTCCATTTGCCAACATTTGGCCCCTATCCTTCTAAATCGTTCCTATTCACGTACCCATCTGGATGCCTTTCACCACTTCATCTGGCAGCTCATTCCATACACGCACTACCCTCTGTGTGAAAACGTTGCCCCTTAGGTCCCTTTTAAATCTTTCCCCTCTCACCTTAAACCTATGCCCTCTAGTTTTGGAGTCCCCTACCCTGGGGAAAAGACCTTGGCTATTCACCCTATCCACACCCCTCATAATTTTATAAATCTCTATAAGTCACCCCAAAAATAGCCCCAGCCTATTCAGCCTCTCCCTTTAGTTCAAACCCTCCAATCCCATCAACATCCTTCTAAATCTTTTCCAAACTTTTTCTAGTTTCACAACACCCTTCCTATAGCAGAGAGATCAGAATTGCATGCAGCATTCCAATAATGGCCTAACCAATGTCCTGTACAGCCACAACATGACTTCCCAACTCTTTACTCAATGCACTGACCAATGGAAGCCATTACACCAAACACCTTCTTCACTGTCCTGTCTGCTTGCAACTCCACTTTCAAGGAAGTATAAACCTGTAGTCCAAGGTCTGTTTGTTCAGCAACACTCCCCAGAACCTTACCATTAAGTGTACAAGTCCTGCCCTGATTTGCCTTTCCAAAATGCAGCACCTCACATTTATCTAAATTAAACTCCATCTGCCACTCCTCAGCCCATTGGCCCATCTGATCAAGGTCCCATTGTACTCTGAGATAACCTTCCTCGCTGTCCACTACACCTCCAAGTTTGGTGTAATTTGCAAACTTACGGATTATATCTCCTATACTCACATCCAAATCATTTTTATAAGTGATGAAAAGCAGTGGAACCAGCACCCAGCAGTTCATTACTCTCTGCAAGCCAAAATTGACAAGAAAGTTCAATGGATTCATGATATCCTACTGCTGTTTGTACATCAAGCATACTTTGTCTCATGCAGTTTCATAGAATCCTGACAGTGTGGAAGCATGTCATTTGGCCCATTGAATCTACACTGACCTTCTGAAGAGCAGCCCACCCAGAATCAACCCCTCTACCCTATCCCTGTAACGCTGCATTTCCCATGGCTAATCCACCTATTCTGCACATCTCTGAACACTAGGGGCAATTTAGCATGGCTAATCCAATTAACCTGCACATCTTTGTGGGAGGAAACTGGAGCACCTGGAGGAAACCCACACAGACACAGGGAGAATGTGCAAACTCCACACAGACAGTAGACAAACAGGAGGCTGGAAAAACACAGCAACCGCACAGGGAGCTGTAGATAAAGAGAGGGCAGCTCTCCCTACCCCTACATCTAGTCCTGAAGAAGGGTAATACCCATAACGTTGACTTCTCCTTTCTTGCCACTGTGTAAATTTCTTAGAAGCCTTGATAGGGCAACTGTTGAAAGAATGGGGCAGTAGGAACTGCAGGTGCTGGAGAATCTGAGATAACAAGGTGTAAAGCTGGATGAACACAGGCCAGGCAGCATCAGAGGAGCAGGAAAGCTGACGTTTCGGGAAGGGTCTAGGCCTGCTTGTGTTTATCCAGCTCTACACTTTGTTATCTCTGTTGAAAGAATGGAATATCTTGAACTAGCGGTGATAGTCTGAGGAAGAAATCTCCAACTGAGATGATGAGAAATGTATTCACCCAGAAGCGAGTGAATCATTCTCTATCCTCAATGGTTGGTGATGCCAAGTCATTGAATATATTCAAGACTGAGATTGAATATTAAGATAGTCAGAGGACATGGGGATTGAACAGAAAGTTCAGGTAAAAGAGCAGCTGTCATCTTTTGAGTGTCTGAGGAGACTCAAGGTATCATATGGGTAACTTCTGCTCATAGGACACAGAAATACTGCTGGCTAGTGCCCCTGTAAGGGGTCAGTGGAATGCCAATACATTTAAACTTAATGTTTTATTGTCTTGTTATAGGTTACTAATCTTGATGAAAGTGAAACAGTTGGTAAAATCTCAAAGCAGTGGACTGGACTCGCAAGAGAAGCTTTCACAGATGCCACTAACTTTGGGATCCAGTTCCCCATGGATTTGGATGTTAAGATTAAAGCAGTTATGCTGGGTGCCTGTTTTCTCATTGTAAGTATTAATTGTATCAAAGTGCAGCATGTTGTGGGTGCATCAGTATCTGTGGGAGCACTTACCTCATATTGAACTATATGATCACAACCTCCAGTGTTTGGATTACGGAGTTCTGACCATCTATTACAGAAACCTATATTCCTGCTTTTACTACCTCTAGACTTGAGCATTCCAGCACACTTCTCCAGTCAGATCCTACCTTTCAGCCCCTAAAAACTTCAGCTGATCCCAAACTCTGCTGTCTGTTTTTGAACTTGCTTGCCCACCTAACTTCCCAGTGCTCACTGAACTGCGTTGTCTCCCAGCTAAGCAAGGCGTGATTTTAAAATTTTTGTCTTGATGTTCAAATTACTCCAAGCCCTTGTCCATCAGCACAGTGTCTCAGTGGTTAGCGCTGCTGCCTCACAGCACCAAGGACCTGGGTTCGATTCCAGCCTCAGGCAACTGTCTGTGTGGAGTTTGCACATTGTCACTGTTTCTGTGCGGGTTTCCTCCTACAGTCCAAAGGTGAGTAGGTTAGGGTGGATTGGCCATGCTAAAGTGTCCCATGATGTGCAGGCTAGGTGGCTTAGCCCTGGGAAATGCTGGGTTACAGGGTAGGGAGGTGGTCAGGGTGAGATCAGTGGACTGAATGGCCTGCTCTTGCACTGTAGGGATTCTATGATCCTAATTATTGCAACTTCCTCCAATCCAGCAACCCACCAAACCTGAGCTTCTCCAATCCTGGTCTCTTGTTCATCCTTGATTGTACCAATTGTCAAGAGTTGAAACTCTGGAATTCCTTTCATGTCTACAGCTTCCAGTCCTCCTTAAAGACCTTCCTTCGAACCTACCTTTTAGCCAAACATCTCCCTGGTCTGAAAATAAAATAAAGAACTGTGGATGCTAGAAACAAAAGCAGAAATTGCTGGAAAACCTCAGCAGAGCTGGCAGTATCTGTGGGGAGAGAGCAGAGTTAATGTTTCAGGTCCAGTGACCCTTCTTCAGGACTCTGAACCTGAAGTGTTAACTGAAGACCTGCCGAGTTCTTCCATCAATTTGTGTCTTTTTTTTTAATCTCCTGATCTGGCTTGGTGTCAAATTTTATTTGACAACACTGCTGTGAAGTGCCTTGGGGAATATTATCCTGTCATAAGCGATGTATAAATATGAATTGCTGCTGATTGTGTTTGTTTGAAGCCGAGAAAATGTTTTATGCCTGATTTAGCACCCAGAATAGTGACTGGGTGGTCTTTACAATAGATTTAGATCTGAGAAGGAAAGTTGATTATTTTGAACCACTCTGTAAGATTATTTTTCAACAATCTATTAAGCCATGAAAAATGGAACTTCATTATTCTGCACCATGTATAGAATCAGACTTGCTGCTACCATGAAATGGGATTTTGACTAGATTTCCTAGCAGCTGTACTGGTATAGCATTTGATGCATTTATCCCAAACTGACTAAGAGTAAAATCTAATTATTGTGTAATTTCTACCATTTAATGTTGATTGCAATGGCCAGTAGTATGCTGCTGAATGCATGCTCCAATCTGAGTCAGAAAATTAGGTTTATGTTTCACTCCAGGGAGTAGAGGGTATGATCTCAACTGATAATGCAGTGCAGCACCAAGGCTGCATTTTTTTTTTCCATTTCTTCATGTAATGTGAGTGTTGCAGAGCACTAATTGCCCATCTCTAAACAATAATTGACAGACGTCTCCATTTGCCTCACTCTTTGGGTTAGGCTGAGGCATTAAACTGAGGCCTAGCCACCTTAGAGTCATAGAGCTGTACAGCATGGAAACAGACCCTTCAGTCCAACTCATCCACGCTGACCAGATATCCTAAATTAATCCAGTCACATTTGGCAGTATTTGGCCCATATCCCTCTAAACCCTTCCTATTCATATACACATCCAGATGCCTTTTAAATGTTGTCATTGTACCGGCCTCCATCACTTCCTTAGCACCTCATTCTGCACCCGTGTCATCCTCTGTGTGAAAAAGTTGCCCCTTACGTCCTTTTTAAATCTTTCTTCTCCTCTCACCTAAAACCTATGCCCTCTAGTTTTGGACTCCCCTGCCCTGGGAAAAAGACCTTGTCTATTCACCCTATCCATGCCCTTCATGATTTTATAAAGCACTATAAGCCTCTGAACCTTCAGGGAGAATAGCCCCAGCCTATTTAGCCTCTCCCTATACCTCAAACCCTTCAACCCTGGCAACATCCTTGTAAATCTTTTCAAGTTTGACAACATCTTTCCGAAAGCAGGGAGACCAGAATTGCATGCAGCATTCCAAAAGTGGCCTAACCAATGTCCTGTACAACTGCAACATGACCTCCCAACTCCTATACACAATGCACTGACCAATAAAGGCAAGCGTACCAAACGCCGCCTTCAGCACCCTGTCTACCTGTGACTCCACATGCAAGTCTCTTTGTTTGGCAACACTGCTTTCTTATCACTATGGCATCTTTTGCAGCCTCCTGGTTTTCAAAAGAACAAAGGAGTAGTGTTTTCCAGGTGAGCTTGGCAATGTTTGTGTCCTAGCGGAAAATCTCAGCAACACTGGGGTTAACACCTATGCATCCGCATCCCCACTTTTTCTGTCAATCCTCTGCACCCTGGGAGTAGGGTGCCCTCATGTAACTAGGCTCAAGGCACTATATAAATGCAAGTTGTTGCCCCATGGTTAAAATGTCAGAAAAATCCACCCTAATATTTCTCTAACCAATGCAGTTTATTGTGTAAAGGCACAGAGGTGGAAAGAACAGAAAACATTATGTTGCAAAAGCAATCCACTTGAGCCCAGCCTCAGTCTAACGTTCATTATCATAATGAAATGGTTTTGTAATGTGAGTGACTGCATGCATCATTAAAGGATTACCTTGTTAGTGGACCCAAACGCAGGGAGAGTGCACTGTCAGTACGAAATGCTGTTGCAAATCGAAAGCACTGTCAGCTTAAATCAGCCTCGTCTGTTGTTTTATTAGGATCCTGATAATCTAATGAAAGATGGATTTTTATTACCACATAGGGCAGCAGAGTGGGTCAGTGGTTAGCACTGTTGCCTCTCAGATCCAGCAGCCTGGCTTCGATTCCACCCTCGGGTGACCGTCTGTGTGGAGTTTGCGCATCATCCCGTGTCTGCGTGGGTTTCCTCCCACAGTCCAAAAGATGTGCAGGTTAGGTGGGTGGCCCATGCTAAATTGCCCGTAGTGCCCAGGGATGTGGAGGTTCGGAGGTTTAGCCATGGAAAATGCAGGGATATAGGGTGGTCTGTGTGGGATGCTCTTTGGAAGGTTGCTGTGGACTCGATGGGTCAAATGGCCTGCTTCCACACTGGTGGGGATTCTAAATCAATGAAGATAGATCTCCACTGGGACTTGTAATGAATGTTTGATGTAATGTAATGAACAGTTTCCTCCCACAGTTCAAAGATGTGCAGGCTGGGTGGATTAGCCATGGAAAATGCAGAGTTACAGAGATAGGTGGGGGGTCTGGGTGGGATGTTCTTCGGAGGGTTAGTTTGGACTTGATGGGCTATATGTCAGTTTCAGTTGGAGTTCTAAAGCAAGCGAATTCCAGTCCGCATGACATTATTGGCAGAGAGCATGGTAGTTTATGGATTTTTTTTCTGTCATTCTTGTTTCTTCTGGAAGCTAGCATTGGAGTTATGTTTATACAACGGATGTGACATCACTGAGTGCCATTTCATTTTTGTTGAAGTTAATTTGTTTAGTTGGAATGTAGTCCAGTATTGTACTGACATCACTCAGTTTTTCAAAAGAAATTAAACCAAAACCTCTGCAACAAAGAGACAATGGAATGTGCAGTGAATTAAAGGTTAAGAGTTTTAATGTTCACATACCACTGGGCCAAGCAGTTGCAGTATGGTTACACCACTGTTATCTACCCGGCAATGTGGAGAATTTCCCAGGTACGCTGGCCCACAGAATGCATGAGAAATCCAAAGCCACCAATTACCACCCATCAGTTTATTCTCAATCAACAGCCAAGCGGTGGAAGGGGTTGTCTCACAGTGCTATCAAGAGGCACTTACTCAACAATGACCTGCTCACTGATGCTCATTTTCAGTCCCTCCCCCAGACCAATCCAGTCTGCTCCTGATTTTATTGCAACCTTGGTACAATCATGGACTACAGAGTTGGTCTCGGAGAAATGATAGCGATTGTCTTTAACATCAAGGCAGCATTTCACTCTGTGTGGCATCAAGGAGCCCTGTAAAGACTGGAGTCAATAAGAATCAGGGATCTTGTACATAGGAAGATGCACTACATCCACAAGCCTCCACCGACGCTCAGTCGCAGCAGTGTGTACTATCTACAAGATGCACTGCAGAAATTCACCAAAGATCCCCAGACAGCCCCTTCCAAACCCACGACCACTTCCATCCAGAGGGACAAGGATAGCAGATATCTGGGAACACCATCACCTCCAAGTCCCCCTCCAAGCCACTCATCATCCTGACTTGGAAATATATCGCCGTTCCTTCACTGTCGCTGGGTCAAAATCCTGGAATTCCATTCTACACAGTATAATAACAAATCTACTCCCCAGTCAGTGATTTTCCCTGCACTCATGTCTTGGGTGGTTTGTAACATCACTCCGCACTGCGGGTCTGCCCCTCTATCCACGCCTTTTATCCTCTCCCACTCACCTGTCACTCTGCAGCAACCTTTTACCCAAACAACTTCATTTCCTGTCTGCCCCGAATTCTCAGTTTAAAATAAATTCCCAGTTAGATGCACTTGGTCTCTGTCTCACACAGATTACATCTCCCTCACACTCGCTACGTTTCCCTGGGGTAGCACACTGGAAATCAAGCCCCACTATTCCCAGAATCATCACAAAAGTTAAAGATTCTTAAAGCTGTGAAAAATTCCTCGAGGTACCTGTCTTTCAGACCCAGGTGGTCAGAAAGCAGGGACTAGTTTCTGAACTTAACAGTAATTAGTCTTTATCACATAGAGACACAGAAGCAGGAGTA